GATTGACTGAAAGCGCAGTTCTGGTTCAGAAGACTGCTTTATTTGTGGGTTTGGCGCAAAAAAATGAGATTAAAAAATATCCTGAATACTTCGGCTAGCTTGACTAAAAGAATGGTGATCAGGTCACCAACCAGGATTAGAACATAAATATTTTTGGAATGCTATCATGTGAAGCAAGCTTCTAGGCACCTGCATTCAGTTCCGGAGAAGCTATGATAAGTTTTCATTTTTCATGTCATTTGGTTGCATAATAAGGAGAGGGATGTATTCCAATGACAAGCTCGAATCTATAACAGGTTACTAAATCTATGTGCATCATGTTACACCATATTATACTACACTATAATGCATAATTATATTATAAACTGTATACAGCAGACAATGCCTGAAAAATTCCAGAGCTATACTAATTCCTTGATTTTCGTAAGATATCTTCTAATAACGACGTACACTTGTGCGTGTTCATGTGTATATTTAAGCGTGGGCCTATAAGAACAAAGTGAGAGTTTCTGGTAAACAGAAAAGCCCAAAACCTAAGGACATTAACTTTTAATGCACTTTTACTTTTTGACCCAAGGATATTCATAATGGAATTCTGGAAATTTCGCGAAAAGGAGTTTGCTTTGTTTGGGATAGAACACATTTTTTCTAAGCCTTCTGGATGAAATAAAATATATTTCTTTGCCTTAACGATTAGTTTTGGGCATGACCTAATGATACTAGAATGGAAGGAATGGGGCGTTAAGAAGAAGAGTGTATGCACTATTCTGGCTTAAGTATGCATTTGCTTTGCAGCTCATTGCAATTCAAACTGCTTGATAAACTGTTCTTAGTTAGGCATGCACCCGCGTTTTTTTTGCCCTAACTTTTCAGCAAGTACATCTTCAAGCCCAAATAGCTGCACTCAATGAAAAGTCTTTAGAAAATATCGCTAAACGGGTGCAAGTGTTTTCTCAAGTTTATGCCTTATTTGGCGCAACTGCTAGTGTTACATCCTGCATTATTGCATGCCCTCTTCGTCACATTTCATAAAGCACGACTTTGTGGACTCGACGCTTTTTGTAGACAGATCGCAAGAATGTGCCACTCGCAGGAGTCGAAAGAGTGGCGAAATATTTTGCTTCTTTTGCCCATTCATGGTATTTTTTCCGCGCGCAGTAACTAAACACACATTAGCGCCTGGCATTGCAAAATAATAGGTTTTTACACAGTCCAGTTGATGCAGGCGACTAGTCACTACTACTGTATGTAATAGTAGTATGTCTCTTAATTGTTGGGATAATAGACTGGCAGTAGTCTTGTCTACTTGAAGCAGTCCATTTCATTGTCCAACGTACTCATTCATTTTCCTACCAATCTAAAACGATACAGGATAAGACTTTCTCCGACTCGACTTGTCAGCTAACATGTTTAGTAGTATTTTATTTTAATTTAAATCTTCAATTCCATTATCCGGGTTAGTTTGCTTTCGCCCAAAACTATAAAGTCTTATATTTCCTGTGACAATTTGGGGCTGAGTCGTGATTTCTTATATCGGCAACGATGAAGCTGTCTCTTCCTCTTCGTTTCTGTGTTTAACAGGTCGACTTCCCACGTGGTGGGATAGCTGGCAGGACTCCTTCTCGAATTGCTTGTCGGTCGTTAGTTTTCGAGCATCAGATTCGGCTCAAATTGCCCGCAACCTGGTTCGCCGGCTTTCGTAACTCCCAGAGTGCCACTGGTAGCAGTGCTGCTGGCGCCCAGACCGGTCTTCCGGACCCATTGGTGCTGCAACTGGACCTCAAGGAGCGTAGAAGAAGTGTCATGTCCGATGCCGGTGGCTACTTGGCGACAACGGAAAATTTCGAGGATTCTCACGCTAATGGTGAGCAGTCGTGGGCTGGCGTTGTAATATCTAATAAGAATGGTAGTCTTCCTTGATGGTATGAGGAGATGAAGCACTGATAGTTACCACTTTGTAAAGGTCGGAATTATAGTTTGCCAAATCAACAATCCCGCAATAAAAATGTGAGTTTGTGTGAATGCTGACCTTCTTTGAATACCACATCTGTCCATATTTGTGGAGTGGAGTGGTAACAACACCACAATACTCTCGGTAGACAACAGAATCCCGTTGGAGGTATTGATGGGACAATAAAGTGACGTCAAAACTGTGGCTCATTCCAATCCAGCCTGGAGAAAAATACCTTTCGGAAGCACGGCTTTGCGGAGGCCCATTCAGCTGAATGTGGAAGAATTTAACTTTTAGTTCTTCACCATCCCTTATGCAAGATCTATTGATGGCAGCGAAATTCAACTCATATCGAATCATTCCAAAAAAATAAGTATCCTCTAAGTTACTTTAATTATTTGGTCAGGGTTAGACAAGGTTACATTTGAAAAAATATACTAACCTTATTACAATTCCCTCATTTTAAGAAGATATATGACCTAGGTTTACTCTATTTCGTTAAATGAATTTCCCCTAAGAAGCTGATCAAACTAGTGCGTAAGTGGAGATCGAATACAGCCCATTATTAAGATTGCTTGCCCTTGTGGTCAACATTATGCCAGCGAAACAATTCGCCATATTCGTCAAAGGTCAGCTGAGCATGAAAATGCCTTTAGATACAGTTTGGTGTAATGGTCAGAAGTGACTGAAGGCAAGGCGGATACTGAAGAAGAGATGGAATCGCCTCGAATTCATTGGTTTGTTGATTATTATACGTCTGCCGCGCAAGATAAGAGAGAATATTCAAGGTACTAGAATAGACAATACGATTAATCTAATCAATGAGAGTAGCTAATTAAGTAAAAGCTACTTTTTCTTGATTGAAAGTATGAAGATGAGAGGGGGTGTTGAAATACTGGACAAGAGGAATTAATGAGAGGTATTCAGCCTATTTCATTTAAGGTGATGAAGGACTGAAAGAAGAAGAATTTTTCCACAATGATATGAGTCAAGCTGACGTTTCCATTGAATTGCACATCGCATCGGTCTTATCAATACCCCCAGCGGGAGTCATTGTGGAAAATTTCTACTACCAGTCCTTCATCACCTTACACGAAATAGGGGAATACCACTCATATTACTGATTTATTGGTAGTCTCGAAACTCTACTCAAATACGAAAATATTAGGAATTAACTCGTAAGCTGACTGATGTTTTCCCCATAGTTACATTTATTCAACTCTTCCACTACCCCCTAATAATGTACAGAATAACACAATTCAACTACTTTAACTCTGATGCCCCAAGAATGGCAGTTTATAAATGATGGTTTCATAATCTGACATTACCCTTTATCCACTCACTCGGTTACTTTCGGAATTAGGCAATCTCAGTCATTTTCTTTCTTGGATTATAAAGCTTAGATTATCCGGGCCTGGTGTTGGGCTCTTTTTCACATCAGAATTTAGTGTGATTTAGAGACTATCAGTAGATTTTGAATACGAACTTTAGTCACTTTTGGTCGGTCAAGGTGAGTAAGGACTGCTTATTCATTTTTTAATTGTGAGATTAGTAGGTATCGAGATTCAATTCAATTGCATTATTAATTTTCTTGTTTTGCAATTACTTTAAGTTATTAGTATTGCGTAATCTGACTTACACGCGTACAGATGTCAACACATGCACACGTGCATAGACAGACACTTTCAAGTATAGGTAACTTGATTAATGTGAAAGCGAACTAATTAAACACTACTTTATCTGTATATTTAGGTTTTAGGTTAAGAGGAGATATACAATGTAAGACAGACCCGTATCTTCTTCTTGACTTTATAATATCTTGAATATTTTGCAAGACACATTTCAAGCAGCTCAGCACCCTCTTTTTCTTTCAATCTACCAATCAAGCAAAAGTAATTCCTACTCAACTTTCTACCACCGTTCCTCACAATTAACGTATTTTCTAAGCTGTTAATTTCAAGAGCCTCTCTTATCTTTCTTTTAACCACAGACGTACCATAATCAGCAAACCTACTAGTTTGAGACTATTTTATTTCATGTCCAGTTTTTATCATATGTTGGTAGGAAAATGACCGATGAGGAGATTCGAAGGTCGATCTCACCAGAAAACGACGTCTGATTCGTGTTGTACTGCAGCCGTTTGGCTTAAATACGATCTTCAGGCTGACGCAGTCCACATGATGTCCTCCTTAGTTTCAGGTGAAAATAGACTGAGCTTTCGTTCGTCATATGACGAACATCATCAGAGTTGGTACTAATTCTTGTAAAAGTATCATGTTAATATTAGGTCAAGTAAACTGTCCGGCTCTATTCTACGTCTTATATATATACTCATAACTAAAAGCGAAAACGTATTCATATAGATTTGGCTAATTTTTCATAATAGTGGTCACGATACTTTCAATTGAATATGTGTGCGTGAGTCTGTGTATTAAAGTCTATACGAAATAATAGTAATAAATTAGAATAATAAGAAAGTCTGAGTCAGGTTCCGGTCATCAAGGTTAAATGACACAAGCAAAACCAAAGTCAAGTCTGGGTAAGTCCGTAAGCATTTCTGGCTGAGATAATGTGGTGTAAGCTTGTATGCTTGTAAGTCGGCTTGTGAAACCTCTGGTCATATACAGTCCGTCTAAGATCATTAAGGTTTAATGAGCCAAAGAAGGCATTACATGAAATTGGGCAATCTCGTATATCTGGTTTAGTTGATGAGCTTTAGCTAACATCGAAGGTATGAAGACCAAGATTGTGTGGCCTTTTGTGTGGTCGCAGTCTCCTTTGGTTGTAAAGAAATTGTTTGATCTTGTTTTCGCAACTTGGTCATATTGGTACGACGACCTAGTCCGGAGTCCATTGTATGCATCATCATTTGGAGAGTAGCACCGTGGACGTGATACATTCCCAGACGTTTCGCCCGCATCGTCAGTAAGTCTCGCCATTCTGAGCACCACACGACAACTCGTCAAAGAGACAAGACGAGCTGCACTATGGTGCTACGAATGGCGAGACTTACTGACGATGCCGGCGAAACGTTTGTGAATGTACCACGTTCACGGTCCTACTCTCGAAATGATGATGCATACAATAGACTCCGGACTAGGTCGTCGTACCAACATGACCAAGTTGCGAAAACAAGATCAAACAATTTCTTTAGCTAACATGTTGGACAAGTGTGTGTAAAGTTAGAACCATCACTGAACGGACTAGCTGAGATGCCTAATCTTTGCTGGCGGCTCAACACATTCTCTCCCTCCTTCAATCTATCAATCAAGCGTAGATAGTTATTACTCAACCTTCTACAATCGTTCCGCAGACCCAATTAAAGCCCTAATCTGTTAATTTCAATAGACTCTCTTGTCTTGCGTTGAGTAGTATATACGGAGAAAATGCGAATTTCGGAAACTCTCCTGAGGTACGATTGATGTGAAGACATCTGCATCTTAGAACAATCTGCCCAATACCCAGTCTCCGCCCTCTGATCGGCTACTTTTGACCGTTGGACCCAGTTGCCTTAGCAAACATTTCTGTGTTCACCTGAGCTTGGGCAAATAGGCCGACACACCTCAGCAATATAAGGTCAACCGCAGGAGCCTACAAACTTGTAGCAACTGGATATCGAGAATGGCTCATATTTCTCTCTAAAAGATGGCACAATAGAGGAGAGTGTTGGTGTTTCTTTGAACACTGCCTTTACCCACCACTCCTTTCTTTTTAGTACGTCTATCTCTTTAGAAAGAAGGCATGACGACAAAATTAGAACGTAAGAGCAGGTCTCAGTTTGTCTATGCTTGACTAAATAGTCTCCGTTGCAACATTTATTCCTCAGTAAAGAGATAATATCATAAATTAGACCCAAAGGATAATTATTTTTCAGGATTACATCTTTTAACCGTTCCAACTCTTTAGTCACATGGTTACTATCCGCTAGTCTCATACTTTTAAGGACCATAGATTTCAGGATCCTAACCTAAGCTTCGTAAGTATAGATGAAAAGATAATTTAGAAAATGGCCAACATATATTGGTTTTCTATGAACATTTATTCCTAATTTACCATATCTTTTCTAATGATCAGAACATCCAAAAAGGGTAAGCACATTTTCTTTTATATTTCTATTATGAAGCCAATGCTCCTTTCCGGTTGGGCAAATGCAAACAGGAAACTATTTCATCTTTCCTTACCATAAGGCCAGATGACCAAACAATCATTCATGTATCTAACCCACAATTTGAGGGTTAGTATTGTCTCTTATACAAAATGTTCCCTAAATTTGGCCAAGTTGTCATTCTACTAAATTATTATCAAGCAAGATCTCATCGCAAGTCCCTGCGTCTGACAAAGATATTAAT